CTTTGCGCTCCAACTAAGTATCTCCTGCCATAAATTAAAAAGTTAACTACCCTATAAAGACGTCGATCCAAAGCCACAGACTATAAATTATTTTCCAACCACCCGCGGGGCCTAAGTTACCCCATTAACTTAAGTAGGTTAAGGTATGTAGTTATAGGTTAAGGTATGTAGTTATATACTTTTTTTTTTTTTTTTTTTTTTATCTAAGATGGGCTTACTCTTGACCCCAATCTTACCCTAGAGCAGAGATGGGATCTACGGTGGAGCGAGCTTGCCCAGAAGATGCCTATTCACTCTAGACTTAAAGAGATTCAGGTTATATGCACTCGGAAATACAGACGCAGGCAGGGAATTCCATTCTTTATACCAACCTTTATCCAACGTCAGGGGCAAACTCCACAGAATAGACGCGCGACGCGACGCGCAACATGAGATCTGTAAGATAAACGATCGTCAGCTGTTATCAATTGGAGGCGCGTCATAAACGTCGATAGTACTGAGTGAGCCATCTGTAAAGGCGCCCCGCGTGCCGTCGCCTTAATTTGTAGTCAGACCTCAGACCTTTATCCAATCCACTAGTTTCTCAGCCCCAATATCGTAGACGTTGCAAATCGTGTAGCTCCGACATTGCGAGCTCAGTTTCTCGATACTGCTTCGCGCTAAGTGACATACTGCACCATTGTAACGTTCAGAGGCGTCAGTAGTATACAACAGCTTTCCATTTCTAACAAGCAAAAAATTGCTAACGTAAGTATAGCACTAACTCTTACGGTCGCATCGATTTTTAGAATCTGTTGGTTTTAAAAACAGATCATACCAAGTTCTAAGTTTCTTAAAGTACCTAGAATATATCTCTTTTAATACCCAAAAGTTAGTAGTAATTAGGTTTTAGATAAAAAACTGATTTCGATTCAGGAAATAAATTTTTCCAAAATAAAAATAGCCATTTTTGCAGTGAAACCAGCTTTCCGACGTCTTGCGCCTGCCTAATCGTGGGTTGCTGCGCCTATCCTCGTCTTAACCTCGGAAGCGGTATTTCAAGTCCACTAGTTTGTCAGCCAACACCAATACCTATTGTAGACGTTGCAAATCGCGTAGCTCCGACAATACAAGCTCAGTTTCTCGATACTGCTTCGTACTAATTGACATACTACACCATTCTAACGTTCAGAGGCGTCAGTATCTGAAACAGCTTTAGCCCTTTTAATTTAACTAAATTATCGTTGTATCGACAACAACCCAAAGAATATTTTTGGTAACGTTAACGAGAATTTTGTAAAACTTACTAGTTTTTTCTCTCCGTGTAGCTTCCAGATGTAAAGTAACAGCAAAGCAGTTTCAAAGTTCTTCTATTGATCGCCGGAAACCAAACTGGGAACAACCCCATACAGTGATAAATTGACAACTATTGGATAATTACAGCTCTACGTCATGCATTATTCGAAAAGAAAACAGAAGAATACATTTGTATGAAAACGCAAGTTTTCAATCTAAGTATCTGGGGGCACGGCAGTGCCCTCACCAAGTCGAGCTGAAAGCGGCACGGCCGTATCATCCTTTTCTCGAACCAGTTCAGGCCATTTTTGACCCCCCTATAACTCCCTTGTCAATAAGTTTAGAACCCTCATTTCAAAATATCTTATCAAGCACTGCATAGACACGATATATTTCAAATTTCATTTAATTTGGACCAGTATTTTAGAAGTTATAGTTAGTCAAAGTTTCTTAATTTTCTGCCTGACTGACTGACTGACTGACTGACCGATCATCAAAATTCTAAGGTACTTCTAGCAGACTGAGGAGCTTGAAACTTAGAATACACCTTGTATTTAGTGTATGAATAAAGGGAAAACTATAACATTGTGCATATTCGATTGCAACCGCATAACTAACTTTGTATTTCCATACAAATGTATAGGATTACAAAGTTAACTTTGCGGATGGGCTTTGAGGAAATCTGTAGCTGAGGCTCAATAAGTAGTTCCAGAACAGAGAAAGATGAAGACTATCTACAAAAAGAAATGAGATCCCACCAAAAACATTTACTTGTAAAATGAACCAAGTCTCTTTATATTTACAATAACTAGAATGACTTGGCAATCGCACACTATTTGCTTGTGAAATACGATGGTCTAATGCGATGGCCGGGTCATTCTAGTTATTGTAAATATAAAAGTTTTTAAATATCGATATAGTTACTGTAAGATGATGTCTGTTACCTAATTATGCAATAGCTTAAGATGAAAGTTCCCTGAAGTAGTCCTTGAATAAATCAATAACCGACTTGGCATTACATGGATCTCACAACTTTTTACAGTAGATGAACTGAGAGGCGAGACTTGGTTCATTTTACAAGTAAATGTTTTTGGTGGGATAGACATTTCCGGAAATGTAGTATCGAATACATCTCATCTTCCTTTGACGCTCGCACCGATATGTTAGCAGTGTTCTAAACTGCTAACTCACTAACGATCTGACTGGCGTAGGCATAATCCAGTTTAAGCCGATTCACGTGCAAATCTTAGTTGCAGACATTCACACATATCGTAGTGTATCGAGTCGATGAACGACCTGATTAACACTGGTGTCAGAGTTTTCGAATCGACTAGGTACTAGGTAACTAGAACATTAAAGCCGTGTGATGCCGGCAGAGTAGAATAGCACCACCCCCTCTCTTCCCGTGGGGGTCCTGAGAGGCGACTGAGGGATAAACCCGACCCAAGCAGCCAGGGCCAACCGTATGGTGGCGGTTAATCCACCATAAAAGCATTCCCAAGGAGGGTTGACGTCTGGTAGGCGGCCGGTCGTAAAATTAAGCCAAATCCTTCGCAACAAGATTTTGTGTTCAACTAAACGTGTTGCGCCGACCCCAAGTAATTGGGATAAGGACAGGAGGATGATGATAGATAGTACATTAATATGACGTAGTTTTGTTAGGACGGATTTTTAATATAAGGTTATCTATCATAGATAGCAAGTCGGCTAAACTGTCCCATCGACGCTTATCATCATCCAAGGTATCTTCTAACAAAAAAAAACTACTATTTCAGCCTGCAATGACTAAACAAAACCACAGATAATAAAAATATACTTACTAGACCAAATGAAGCTAGGGATGAAACTGTCTTACAAAGTTGTAAATCTTTTAAGCCTGAAAACCTGAAGCTATTACTATTATTTCTAACAAAACTAGGTATTAATGTCTATCGCAATAAATAACTATTAAAACACATTTTCTACGTCAAAAATATAAAATCTAAACTACCTACTTACTTCCCAAAGCGTATTTTTAATGTATTAGTAAAATCACAACCCTCCTTTTTACTTTGCTGCAGTCGGATAATAAATCCCGCTAAGTAATACTAGGTACTAAACTTTGTCAGTTAAAGTTTGTGGTCAAACAAACGCAGTAAAGTTTTCAATCTGTGAAAACCTCCTTAGCTTCTGTGTGACCACAATCTTCTGGTTTAGTAGTAGGATTATCCTTATACAGTTAGGTATTAACAAACGGTTCCTAACCGCGGAGTAGTAATCTTTTCTTTGATAGATACTAAGTTTACTAAGATAATTAAAAAAATTACACCTACAACGTGTTACAAAAGAACTAATAAATGTCCCATACAAATTAAGTTCATTTTGTATGGGAGGACCAAATATTTTTTCTTATTTCGCCCATTTTCCATGGGGAAAGTTGTTAAATAGGGGTTAAATAGTTTACGATTACTATAGCCAGCAAATCCACCTTAAAGGGATCAACTTATAGCTACTAGTTTTGCCTAGTATTCGTATCTCTCTCCCTTCGTGTGGGACACCGAGTCGTTCAACGACCCGATGAACCCTAGAGTTTTTCAACCGCCTACTGCAAGTATTTGTATAAAAACCAGTATAAGTTGGTCCCTTAAATGAGTAGGTAGATTTGCTGGCGATAGTACATCGTAACTAACAAAATTTTCCACCGGCAAGGGTAAGTGGAAATTATTACGGAAAAGGTCCCTCTGAGGGTCCTTCAATAAATTTGGTGTAAGTGTCAGAAAATAAGCCGAGGTACTAAACGACACTAAACAACGCCACTTTTAGTGCCGGCAGGACAAGTTCGGGGAGTTTTAGTACTCCAGGGACCTTTATTTGAGGTCTGTTTGTTTTATTCTTGTAGGTATTATCCCCTGAGATTCCGGTTATTTCCAGTTAAGGTCAGTCGTCGCTAGTAATGGCTATCTGTATAGGCACTCCGCGCGCCGTATTCCTAACTTGTTCTTTTAGCCCTTCAAAGCCTAACTAGCTTTTTTTGTTTTTATTAGGTTTGAAATTCTAAGTCGGAATCACATATAATAATACTGGTTCTTCTTATACAGTTGCAAAAAACTACAAGATTAGTTTCATTACTTAAGATATTGTAATGTAAAGAATCCAATGGCACTAGAAAATACCACCTTTCTATAATTGACCACCTCGAAAACGATCTCCTTAAATTGTTCTTCTTCTTCTTTTTACACGACTACCTCAGGAGATGTTTCTCGAGAGTATTTATGTATGTATGTATCCAGAAATTCGTTTTCACGGGCAACAGCCCAAACGGCTGGGTGAATCTTGACACGTGGGGGGGTCGTTAGATTTGTTTCAGTAGCGTGAGTGACACTGGCTATATTAAAAATTCATAAATTCAAGATGGATGATTATTATCACATAAAACAACTTTGAAACTACCGCAGTCGGGCTTTTGGTTTTTAATGCTTGTTTGAAAATGATTTTTATAAAATGGCTCACTGACCGAAAAACTAGTACGAATATCTTACATAACCAAAGTTCTTACTGTATTAGTGACCTTACTGTCACTTTAGTAACGTAGCAAGTGTTTTCCTTGATATATTGCTGACCGTACTTACCCTGCCAAGCCAACTAATCTTCTGAAAGGCTCATGTTATTTCAGACTTTGCTGTTTCTAGGGATAAAACATAATCATTTTGTGCTTGCAAGGCGTATAGGCATTGCCGATGTGGCGCAGTGGTTAGTAAGGGTTAGTATGACTGCCTGCGATGCAGAAGTTTCCGGGTTCAATTCCCAGTGTCACTCGCAAAGGTGACATTTATCTATTTGTACATTTGTTCCCGGTCTGGTCTGAACCACCCAATTGTCCGGAAAGCAAGATGGCTTAGTACTTCGGAGGACAAGTTAAGCCGTCGGTCCCGGTTGCTGTCTATGGTCACGATCACTTAGATGAAGGTCGTTACAGAAACATGTCAGAGGCCTACTACCAACTTGCAGTAGGCAGTTTAAAAACTCTGACGACAGTGTTCATCCGGTCGTTGGATGACTTGGTGTCCCACTCGAAGAAGAAGATTTCTTGTAGGACACTGAACCGATGTACAACCCACATAAATCCAAAGACAAAAACCGGGTGATCGTTCATCCAAAGCGGAATCATCTTTCTTACAGACAACCAAGTGGCTCAGCATGTAAGTTTTATACTTAGTTAGTTGTTCAAGCATCATATTCTATTCTATTACTGCTGCTCATTCCCTATTTTATGTTATGTTATGATACCCAAGATTGGAAATGGTATCTTGCTAAACAAAGTTGGCATCAAACAATCTTTAATTGGTCTTTTGTCTATCTTCCTAAGTTAGTGCCAAAATATCGCTAGCATTATTATCTCTATGTAAGTTTCATGTGTACTTAGGTGCGTGAGCAGTAAGTGGTGTCAATGCCAAGTCGTCCACTCACCGCACGAACTTCGGCGCTGTGCAAACTTGGTGTTAATACAACCTATGAATTGTGTGGTCAAGGCTTTTAGGAGCTGTCTCTATTGCTTTGGGGGTAAAAGTGTTTCTATTAGAGAATCGTGGGTATTCGTGGATTGAATCGCAATAATTGGGATTAATAGCCACAACAGTCACTACCAGTAATGTGCCTCCCTGTATCAGGTGGAATCTTAGCAGACGGATTCGCAAAACAGTGCAATATGTAGTACTAGCAGCCCGTCAGCGGTTTCACCTACTGCATTTACCCCTTTTCCCATGGAAAAAAGAGATTTTCCCGGCAAATTTTATACATTTACATAAGCTGTTTTAAATCATTCAATCTATTACAAAAAACCGCATCAAAATCCATCGCGCGGTTTAGGAGGAGTTAGCGAATCCGACGATAGAGAAACACAAAAAGCGACTTCATTTAATACTATCGCTAACATTATTCTCTCTATGGAAATTCCATGTGTACTTAGGTGCATAAGTACTAAGTGGTGTTTAATGTATGTGTTTGATTCTCAGTTAGTGCCAAAATATCGCTAGCATTATTCTCTCTATGTAAGTTTCATGTGTACTTAGGTGCATAAGCACTAAGTGGTGTTAGTGCCAAGTCGTCCACTCACCGCACGAACTTCGGCGCTGTGCAAACTTGGCGTTAATACAACCTATGAATTGTGTGTTGAAGGCTTTTAGGAGCTGCCTCTGTTGCTTTAGGAGTAAGGCCTTAGTGTTTCTATCTAGTGTGGTTCATTTTCAACAAGAAGTCCTCAAGATCTTGAGTTTTATTTTACTCCCTTGTTTGGCATCACGGCGAATCCAACGATACCAAAGCCGGATGTCAAATGAAAAACGATCACCTAGTACGAGCGCAAACTCTACTAACCAGAGATTTTTGGTTTAAACTAAAATAATTAAGATCAATAGCCACAACAGTCACTACCAAGGAATGAGCCAACCTGCATCTGGTGGAATCTTAGATTATGTTATGTCGCATTCACAGGGAATACAGCTACTCATTGCCTAGATTCAAAAGTTGCCTCTTACCTACGATAGTCACGTGTATGTAGACATGGGTTGGATATCCTGCTAGTAATACATAGAATTATTTCTTAAGCTTAGTTAGGTATAAAGCGTACAGAGGCTTTCATTTTCATTCCTCAAGCTCCTACAAAATATTGCTGTCCTCACATTTAACCACTTAAGTATCTAATCCTGAAACACCTCTTGAACGTTGAACCACATCAAAAGTTTCTCTTGTCAGTCACAAACATCTTAGGGTACTCGGTCGTCTACTAAAATACATTACCTCGGGTACAAATTAGCTATCTGATAAAAGGTGACCGAATTTGTCCTTCAAACTTTTACTTTCAAAGCTTTTTAAAGTTTTGAAATAGGAAGATCTAAATCTTTTCAACAGGAGGTGACAAGTGAGACTAATGTCTATTAGCATTTTGAGTAATTTTTTTTAAAAAAGAAGAAAAAAAAGAAATCGGTCGCAGGAGTCCCCGTAAAAGCATTAAGTGCTGACTTATAAAGACGGCTAATTTAAATCCCAGATTTTAGGGTGCAGCAAAGGTTTGCAGCAGTAGAAATATACAAAACAGCCGCGTTAGTCCACTTTTGGACAAGGGCTGTTCTCATGTAGATGTATTAGACATACTCACCGTGCTTTGCGTGCGAGTTAGGCAGGTCAAAATGCTTTCGTGGTAAATCATTTTCAAAAGCTCGACTCTATTATTTATTTTGAAAACCTTGCAGTCTTCGGATTAATTGCAAAACCTATCCCAGTAGATGGAGCCCTGCCACGCGTGAGTGGCCAAAATTCACTTGCACTATTTTGCAGGTTAGATTGAGCCGCGGTAGCCCAGTTGGTAGTGGCGTCGGCAGTACAGATGCCGATAAGGTCGCAGGTTTTCAAAGATTGTATACCTATCACGGGAAGCGTTTTAAAAAGGTATTTGATTCTACATTTGTTTACTTAGAAAAGAGAAATATCGTAATAAATATTATTTATTATAAACGGCCGAATTTGACCAAAATTGTTCACTGTAAAACCTTTCACAAATTCGGATCTTAAATGAAATCCAAGTGAATTAGGCCAACAAATTGACCGGATTCGCCCAACACATGCGATAAGTGTTATCCGGAAAAAAACGGTATTATCCCGATCAGACAAATTGGAGATCCCTGGAACCGGCAATCTCGCCCTGACAACGGTTTACGGCTAATTCTTCCGGATAATTCGGCCAGCGCTAATCATGGGAGCCGTATTCAGGGACCAATTTTGTCTTATTACGAAAAATGAGGTACCTATACCTACTACGTCTAAATCATCATGCCTGCCGAACTCATTTTAGACCAGCACAACATGTTTTGTAAGAAAACAAAATAATGTAGCAAACGAAAGGATTTGACAATGTTTTATATGACCGGCCGCCTGCCTGACGTCAACCCTCTTTGGGAATGCTATTGAAGGTGGTATCACGACCACCATGCGGTTGACCATAGGTAGTCGACAGATATTTAGCCGAAGTCAAATACTCTATCGTCGCCTTTTACGAACCCGAGTGGACTAGGGGTGGCAGTATTATTAGCCACTTCCACACGGTGAACTACGTCTAAATATTAGTATTAAATGATAATGGGAATATGCAAGTTAGGTTGGAATTTAGAATTGGATAGGATAAGTTCCTATATAGCGTTTGCCATCCTTACTAATTGTGAAGCGCTAATTGCCCAATTTTACATTTTTCCTGAACGCATTTCTTTACCTCAATAAAGAAGGTCGTAGCAAGTCGTAACGCGAGTGGCAAATCAGTGTCGTAGCATTCGTTAATCAATCAATTTAAAATACCAATGATACCCGAATACGGCCGCGATTTTTATCACTTGGATCTAAGTCGGATTATTTCACGACAGGTCTCGTTCATGGCGTCCCTGATTGGGGGTGTCAGTAGGGTCTCCACAAACGGCCAACTATCGAGGAAAATGTCTCCAGTTTTACAACATTTTGTTGGACAAACCATCGATTGGCTATCATTTAGATCTCTCCTACAGAGTACGTCCGTTCGTTTGACAGTCATCCTAGGTTTGACAGTCAACATAGGGTCTATTTTTTTTGTTGATATGTTTTTAGTATGGGTTTGACAGCTGTCATATATGGCCTATCCGAACGGCCGTCCTATAGAGGTTCATAAAAAATATCTTCTCTGGTACAGCGATTGTATCAGTGATTTTGAATCTTACTGCCCTTTCTCAAAGTTCAAAACCTTTGAAAAAGCTTAACAGTAGTTGATGGTGTGGAGCCACGTGTTAGTTTCCAAAATAAACTTGCTGAATTCGCAGGCTAAGATAGAACCGTGGTAGCCCAGTGACAGTATCGGTGCCGAAAGTCGCAGCTTCAAATCTTGCCTGCAGTGGAAAATTACGCAAGTTTTTTTGAAATAGTGGGAGGGCTTAAATTATCCGTTTGTTACCGGACCGTGTTTTGTGAAATCTACATGTACGTTCGATTTTTGCTTATAAAAATTACAAAACAAAAACATGAGACAGACCAAAGACAGACAGACACCCAATAAAATTAGATCATAAAATGGCTACGATTCTAGCGGCACCTAAATATTCCTAGTTTTAGTCTGTCACAAAAAAAAAACAATAAAGAAACTGCAAAAACTACAGTCAGTAGACAAATAATATTAAACGAAAAACGTATACGGTATACACAAAACCACGCAAACCTATTAAAGCCTATGATGTTTTCTAACATCGCTTTAGGCGTTTATGCAATCGAACATCACGGAGACATTTTATGATTTTCTGTCATAATTGTTTTATTTATGAATCATATTTAGCAGAGAAAACGTCCCGCCAGAATCAAAATCAGTATCACTATAAGGGCGTTTGTCCACCACCGCCGTCACCGTCACGTCACCGAGAACGAGATGACGGCGCCGAAGTAGCGGTACATACATTTACTTATGGCGTTTGTCCACCGCCGCCGCCGTCACCGATCGCCGTGACGTTATACCGGGAGTAACGGAAAGGGTATAACAAGCCGAAAGAAGGTCAAGGTACTCAAGAAATTGAACAACTTTCCCCATGGAACATAGGTCGACATATAAAAAAATAATTGGAACTCCCATAGTAAATCAATCAGCTGATCGGCGATTTAGTATGGGAGGTACATCGGGAAAGTTGTTCAGTTTCATGAGTACCTTGACCTCCTTTCGCCTTTTTATACCCTTTCCGTTACTCCCGGTATAAAACTTGGCCCGAAATAATCTCGTTCTCGGTGACGTGATGGTGACGGCGGTGGACAAACGCCCT